AATAAGGTGCTATAATGCTGTCGCCATAACTCAGCAATGTTGTCTGTTCCTGAGATTCCATCTATAGTGCATGGTAAAGATGTTTTACAGTTAAGAGCTCTCACTTCTTTCCAAAAATCAACAACGTTGTTGCTTAGCAGCTTCTTGGCCATGGAGTCAGCCCTCATGGCTTGATCATTTTTGCAAATGAAGCGTATGGCATACTTATATCTAGCATTGGTGAGCTTCTTGTACTCAAGCACTGGCCCTTGTCTGGGTCTACCAGCTAGAGCCCATGATTTGAAAGCTTCACAGGCTTCAGCACGATACTCGGCTACATACTCGTTCCAGCCAGGTTTGATGTTATGGGTCTTATTTTGATGCTTGTAGTGGGGCTTACTGTCTTTATACAGAGCACTTACTATATCATTGTACATGAAGCAGAGCTCTCTCCTATGCACCACATCCTTACAGATAACGTCAGTACAGTGAGAGAGTGTGTGTGTGTGTGTGAGTGAGTGTGTGTATGTCTGTTACCTTGGCTACTTGTGGGCGTCCGAAACAGGCAGCGTAGTGTAGTGAAGATGACCTCTGACCTCTGTTGACGTCCGCTCCTCTCTCACATAGAAACTCCACCTGAACAACAACAACAACAAACAAGTTGGTCAGACATTTATTAATATTCTAGTAATATGTATTATTATTATTATAATAAATATTATTATTGTGACATTTATTATTATTATGATTAAATATAATAATGCTTATTAATATAATAATAACCATTATAATAATATAGAATAATAATATAATAACGTATATTAGAATAATAAATGTAATATTTTGTGTGTATTGTTATTAAGTGTGACATGAGATCTTTAGCTTTAGAGGAACTGAGGAGTCATTAACGTCAGCAGCTCGTGTGTCTGTGTTCATCTTTCACTTCGTACCATTTCCTGTGTGCCGAAAGCTGAAGCCCAGTTGAGCAGCGTCTGTCCAACGTCGTCCATAAAGTTCACCTCAAAGGCTGCAACAGAGAGAAGAAGAAGACGCTTAAAAACAAGATGGAGGCTGAACCCTGGAGCACAGCATCAAAGTACGATTCATCAGGAAGAAGAAATCTACAAGAGTTTATGTGGTGAGGAATACTGAGGAAAACATCCTTCAGGACTCCTCCTCCTCCTCCTCTCCCTTCCTTCTCTCTCCCTCTCTCCCTCCCCCCCTCCTCCTCCTCCTCCTCTCCCTTCCTTCTCTCTCCCTCCCCCCCTCCTCCTCCTCCTCCTCTCCCTTCCTTCTCTCTCCCTCCCCCCTTCGTCCTCCTCCCCCCATTTCCTCTCTCTCTTCTCCTTCTCCTCCTCAATTCTCCTTCTCTCCCTTCTCCTCCCATTTCCTCTCTTCTCTCTCTCTCTCTCTCTCCCTACCCCCCTCGTCCTCCTCCCCCTACTCCTCTTCCTCTCATTCCTCTTCTTTATCTTTCTTCCTTTTCCTCCTCTTCCTTTTCTATCCTCCTCCTCCTCCTCCTCCTCCTCCTCTCACCTCCGGTGTCGATGGCGTCTATGAGAGCGTCGGTGTCTTTGCTACGGATACAGTCGATGAGCTGTCGGTGTGATCTCTCTCCAGAGCTGTCGAGGCGTCTCAGTCCGGGGATCCGACCCGTGGACCCGGCCGTGGACTTGGGCAACGCCTTGCGACCCTCGAACAGCAGAACCAGCAGGAGGTCCACCAGCCGCATGGTGTCCAGCACGCAGCGCTCGTCTCCACCCAGAGCGGACTCCATGGAGTCGGGCAGCGCCGAGCGCAGCAGGTCCTGAAAAGACAGGAGATGCTAACGTTAGCTCAGCTTGTTTCTCTGATAACTTAAGATCCAGACGTCTGATGCTAACTTAAGCTCAGCTTGTTTCTCTGATAACTTAAGATCCAGACGTCTGATGCCAACGTTAGCTCAGCTTGTTCCTCTGATAACTTAAGATCCAGACGTCTGATGCTAACTTTAGCTTAGCTTACGTGAGTGACGAGCGGCGACCCTCTGCACAGCGTGGACAGCAGGCTGACGATGGTCGACACCTGGTTACTCAGCTTGGAGTCCGGCGCCGAGGGGGCGCCGCCTGTCGAGGTCCGGCCGGGCTTACAGGAGGAGGCGGGGCCCGACGCTGTGCCGCCGGCGGCCGCCATGCGGGACAGCAGCTCCTCCGTCAGCCCGTGTTTGGCCAAAGGGGCGGGGTCTACGCCGCGGCGGGTGAACCTGTCGGCTAATGAGGCGAAGCAGCGCAGTGCACCATCCGATACCTTTGGGGGACAGGAAGTCTTTAGTTCTGCCGAAAAAAAAAAACCCAGCTGATTAAAAACTAAAAACGTCGACTCGTGGGTTTACCTGGTGGTCCTCGTGCTTGAGCAGGCTGGACAGAGACTCCACGCAGGTCTCCAGAGACGAGTCCTGAGGCTCCATCTTGCTGCAGAGCCGGGACACCACAGACATGGCCGAGTGCAGCGTGTCTTTGTGGACCAGGTGGCCGCTGTCTCTGATGAAGCTCAGCACACAGTTCAGACCGCCGGCCTCGAACACGGCGCCAGACTCCCGGGTACAGATCAGCTCCAGCACCTAAAACAACACGCGTGTTAATAATAGTGATTATTGATACGAGTGCTCTTATCGATTCTTTTTGATTATTGTTGTATGTAAGCAAATAATCTTTCTTGAGCAGCAACAACAGAAGTTCCAGAATCTTTCAAATACATTCTCAGCTAAACAATGATCTCAGTGATGATGTTTCATTGACGGACGGCTGCTCCACAATGTTCTGCACCACCACTAATCATCCCATCAGCTGTTTCACTTTGATATTGTTATTCGGGATGATCCGATGTTTTCAGTCCCGATATCGAGTGCTCATCAGACACCACAGTGTAATCAATCATCTGTATGGAGATCACCCCCCCCCTCTCTCTCTCCAACAGCACAGACACCATCTTCCTGTCTGAATAGAGAACACAGCTGTCCTGTGATGTGTATGAATAAACATCTGGCAGCACATGGTCGAAAGTCAGAGAAACACACACAGGCTGATCTCTGATCAGCTGTTATCTCCGTGTGTTAGACCACACACACTGTGATAGCAGAGAAACACACATGGCAGGATAACGAGATAAAAAACACAGAAGCAGCAGAAACAGTCTGACAAGAGACGGGAGAGAAAAGTGGTGCAGGAAGTAAATGTCTCACCTGAGACTAATGTAATGGACACAGGTTAAGAGACAACCTGAGCCCTCAGCAAGCTTTTAAGTCGTGACTCTATAATCCTCAGTGAACGATGCATCCCGTTAATAAACAACGACCTCCTCCCCCCCCCCCCCTACCTTCACACACTGCTCAGCCAGGTCTCTGCTGGTCCTGTTGTTGAGCTCCACCACCACCAGCCGGTTGCACAGCGCCTTGATGGCCCCGTCCACTCCCACGATCCTCCGTGTGCACTCCGCCGACACGTCCAGGTAGTAGGTGATGGCTCGGGCCGTGACCTCCAGCACGTTGTCCGGAGCGCTCTCGTCCAGGAAGATCTTACAAAGAGCCGGGAGGAACGTCCGAGGGGGACAGCTGGAGGATAGAGATTTGCTTTATTGGCATGAACGTTTAGAAACGGTACTGCCAAAGCATCACAAAATTAAACATACAATAATACCAATACACAATAACATTAATATAACATCTAGATTGATTAATTATATATATATACACACACACAGTTGTGTGAAAAAGTGTTTGCCCCCTTCCTGATTTCTTATTTTTTTGCATGTTTGTCACACTTAAATGTTTCAGATCATCAAACAAATTTAAATATTAGACAAAGATAACACAAATAAACACAAAATGCAGTTTTTAAATGAAGGTTTTTATTATTAAGGGGGAAAAAAATCCAAACCTACATGGCCCTGTGTGAAAAAGTGATTGCCCCCCCCCCTGTTAAAACAGAAATTAACTGTGGTTTATCACATCTTTAGAAAGCTGAGTTCAATTTCTCTAGCCACACCCAGGTCTGATTACTGCCACACCTGTTCTCAATCAAGAAATCACTTAAATAGGACCTGCCTGACAAAGTGAGGTAGACCAAAAGATCCTCAAAAGCTAGACATCATGCTGCAATCCAAAGAAATTCAGGAACAAATGAGAAACAAAGTAATTGAGATCTATCAGTCTGGAAAAGGTTACAAAGCCATTTCTAAAGCTTTGGGACTCCAGCGAACCACAGTGAGAGCCATTATCCACAAATGGCGAAAACATAGAACAGTGGTGAACCTTCCCAGGAGTGGCCGGCCGACCAAAATTACCCTAAGAGCGCAGCGACGACTCATCCAAGAGGTCACAAAAGACCCCAGAACAACATCCAAAGAACTGCAGGCCTCACTTGCCTCAATTAAGGTCAGTGTTCATGACTCCACCATAAGAAAGAGACTGGGCAAAAATGGCCTGCATGGCAGAGTTCCAAGACCAAAACCACTGCTGAGCAAAAAGAACATAAAGGCTCGTCTCAGTTTTGCCAGAAAACATCTTGATGATCCCCAAGAGTTTTGGGAAAATACTCTGTGGACTGACGAGACAAAAGTTGAACTTTTTGGAAGGTGTATGTCCCATTACATGTGGCGTAAAAGTAACACGGCATTTCAGAAAAGGAACATCATACCAACAGTAAAATATGGTGGTGGTAGTGTGATGGTCTGGGGCTGTTTTGCTGCTTCAGGACCTGGAAGACTTGCTGTGGTAAATGGAACCATGAATTCTGCTGTCTACCAAAAAATCCTGAAGGAGAATGTCCGGCCATCTGTTTGTGACCTCAAGCTGAAGCGCACTTGGGTTCTGCAGCAGGACAATGATCCAAAACACACCAGCAAGTCCACCTCTGAATGGCTTAAGAACAACAAAATGAAGACTTTGGAGTGGCCTAGTCAAAGTCTCGACCTGAATCCGATGGAGATGCTGTGGCATGACCTTAAAAAGGCGGTTCATGCTCGAAAACCCTCCAATGTGGCTGAATTACAACAATTCTGCAAAGATGAGTGGGTCAAAATTCCTCTACAGCGCTGTAAAAGACTCATTGCCAGTTATCGGAAAAGCTTGATTGCAGTTGTTGCTGCTAAGGGTGGCCCAACCAGTTATTAGGTTTAGGGGGCAATCACTTTTTCACACAGGGCCATGTAGGTTTGGGTTTTTTTTTCCCTTAATAATAAAAATCATTTAAAAACTGCATTTTGTGTTTACTTGTGTTATCTTTGTCTAATATTTAAATTTGTTTGATGGTCTGAAACATTTAAGTGTGACAAACATGCAAAAAAATAAGAAATCAGGAAGGGGGCAAACACTTTTTCACACAACTGTATATATATATATATATATACACAGTGTGTGTGTGGGTCACTCAATGTCCCTCAGGTTGTGGCATATTAATACATATTGGGCAGCAAGGTATGCCCCGTCTCCTTCTCCTGTACTTCCTATCTCCTATACTTCCTATCTCCTTCTATACTTCCCATCTCCTATACTTCCTATCTCCTTCTCCTATACTTCCTATCTCCTTGGAGTATTTTTAATTTTGAGATGTCACTAAATTTTTCAAAATCAGAAATTACAGAGTTGAATTTTTTAAAGTACATGTTCCTAATTTTATTGAATGTTTCGCATTTTAGGAGGAAGTGCGCCTCTCCATCTCCCCCCCCCCCCCCCTTCTCTCATAAGAACACTCACGTCTCAAAGCAGCGGTCCACGTTGTCAGACATGAGCAGCAGCATGCAGAGCTGCTCCAGAGCGATGAGCTGCATGTCCCGCTCGTCGCCCTGCCCCATCTGCAGCCACTCCAGCAGGGTGTCTGGGTCCACGTCCGCCATGATGGCTAGCCTGCAGGGACATGTACCGTTCATTATGTACTCCTATCACGATATCCCAGCATGCACTGGGACTTCCACTCCACGTGGTTTTAAATACATTCATGAGGTCGGTTGTTTCTTTGGCAAATTTATTGCTGTCTAATAAAGTTATGAAACATTTGTTAATTTATTCCTTGAAGAACAGACTGAATCTCCTGAAACAGTTCTACCACTGATCCATAAAGAAATCCCAAAATATTTCAGACTTAAATGAGACGAACTCACAGACTCTCTCGTTCTTGGTCTGAAACTAGATTAAAATATCCACAAAGTTTGTCAACGAATTCATCCGGACAGTCGTAGAGAAGTTCTTGTTGACTAACACGGTGTAAATGATGAAGTTTGATAGAGTCTAACATGGACACTACAGTGAGCTAACCGTAGCATGGTTTAGCTAACAGAAACACACAGCTTAGCTTCATCACTGTGACCCTCCAGTCAGCTGAAAGTCTGACAATGATTTCAGTCTGAAATATTAGATTATTTATGGATTTTGACGCCATTAGCAGCGATCCAAGAGAATGATTTGTGTTCAGGAAACAGGAGTCTAAATCAGACGTAAACAGAAACAAAAACACTATTTCGGCTCAAAAACTATTTTAGTAAATAACAAAAGTCATATTATGTGTCAAAGACGCCATCACTTCTTTATGTTCACGAAGAGGAGCTACATTCATGAAATAAAGATGATTTATTAAAAAGAGGTATTGACTTGTTGACACTTGAATCTGTTTGGGGGGGGGACGGTTGAGAACCTATGCTTCAACAGATCTATAATCATCATCACATGACCTCTCACCTGGCTTCCCGTTGGCTACCCGGTCCGGCTCAGCGCCCAATCACTGCTCACAGTTCTGTTGCTGTTTGGGACTCATCCAACCAACCGGACGGAGGGAGAGTGGAAACACGGGCGAGAAGCTCTCACAGGGGTTTCTGGGACATGTAGTCTGATCACCTGCAAACAAACAAAAACAATGGCGACATTTAGATATGGAGACAGAGTACGGACCAATCAGGAGCTACTGGCAGATAAAGGGGAGGGGCTTAGGTGTGTGAGACGACTTGATTCATAACAGGTTAGCTTAGATGCTAATAGCATCAGTTCCATCACAACTGGATAGCAAAGAACGACACTGAAGGCTTTTCGACATGGAAAACTGGCTTTGGTTACACTTTGATTGACAGATGGTTCATCCAATCAGCTGCCACGTATTCTTTTAAAGCAACAGTTTCTCATTGGAGTTTCTCTCCAATGTTTCTGTGGAACAAACATCTGGTTTCCAGACTCCACTACACCTGTGGTCACGCAGCCGGTTGGTGAAGACGTAGGACTAACGGTACGGTACCCACGGTCCTCATAAAAACAACAACAAAAAGTCAAATGATCTGAGGCTCTATCCAGAAGTTCAGGACCCGTGGAGCTCATTTAGATCCATGTCAGCCACTCAGGACTTGAACTCTTCACATGGGTTTTTTCCCCTTCAAACAGGACTGCAGGTTATCGTAACCTCAGAGAAGGTTGAGAAGCACTAGATATGAAGAGCTGGTGATCAGCTGACAGTCGAAGGAAACATCATTCAGTACAAAGAGGTTGAGGTGAAGGTAATAACACACTGGTGAAGCTTTTATCTCCTACTGTCATTGAACTAGTGGTCTGAATGAAGGACGTCTGACGTCTCTGTGGTGAATATTTCTACAACAATGTCGTCATGGATTCATGCAGACCAATGAGAACAAGGTGACATATTGTTGAGATGTTATCAACAGCTTCACATCTGTAACTGCTGGATCACAGAGGATTCTGGGAGTCTGTGAGGTACACATGTGATGATAGTCGGTGTTATTGGACCTACGTGAACAGCTCGGATTCTTCATGTTAATGTTACATTCAGAAAACTGACGGATCGTTTTAATTACAGATACATATGTTGGCCAGAAGATGCAGCAGAGAAATGATGGATCTGTCTGTCTGTCTGTCTGACCTCACAATCCAGAAACCAATCATTCATAGATCAATAGAACTATTGATCATTGTGTTGTTACACCTGTGGACAGGTGGTGGAGGTAACCGCTCCACCACCTGTCTCACATCTCCAAGCTAAGTTGATTAATCTATGATTAGTCGGTCTGCCTGTCTGTGAACAGGCTGTGCTGGACAGATCCTCTTATCAACAGATTAATACCACCCCCCCCCGGATCAGAAGTGTGTCACATTCATTTTTCAAGACAGTGAAGAAGAACCGGGAGGTCTTTGTGAGTTCTTCTTCACTCACTTACAGTTGTATTGTTCCAGAACAAAAACATCTCACTGAGATGGACCGATCCAATCAATCACCAGCAGAGACACCATCACCACGTACCAGGTGAAGCTCTCACCTGAGACCGTGAGACCAGACCCTGAGACCAGACTGTGAGACCAGACCCCCACTGGACAAATAACCAACATGTGACCTTCGTCTTCCCTGATGAAGGTGTGCGGTCACCGTAGATTACCGGGACAGATGGAACAGCAGAAGTAGCCGGCAGGACGTTTTCTCTGTCCACTAACAACACGAGAGACGATCTACTGTTTCACTGGGTTCAAACAACAACAACAACAACAACAACATGCAGACACACAATCATTTCAGTTTGACTTTAGAAAACAGTGTTTCTCAGATTGATTGATTTAGTTGTGATTCAACATCACGTCTGTTTTAATCTGCGCTCACTTTTGTTTGGTAGCGTTTTTTATGCTAGACTGTTTGTAGATTTCAGTTCAGCCTTTAACACACTACAGCCTCATGTTCTCCTGAACACACTGCAGTTGATGAATGTCAACCCCTTCACTATTAAGTGGTACCACTCATTCCTCACCAACTGTACCCAGCAGGTCAGGGTGAACAGGACCTTGTCTGAACCCTTGACCATCAACACCGGCGCCCCCAGGGGTGCGTCAGTTCACCAGTCCTGTTCACCCTGTACGCTAATGAATGCACATGTAGCACTGCTAACAATTACATGATCAAGTGTTGTGATGATACAGCCATCCTGGGTCTCATGTCTGACACATCGGATACAGCTGTGTACAGACATGAGATTCAGAACTTTGTCCAGTGGTGCGACAAACACTTCCTCATCCTCAACGTCAGTAAAACAGAGGAGATGGTATTCGACCCCAAATACATTGGAGACCACTCACTAGTGGTTATTCGTGACCAGAACATTGCCTCCCCCTAGGTCCTCAGGCGCTGCCTCCTCTGCAGAGGACATGTTGGTCGGGTTTAGGAGTTCCTCAAAGTGCTCTTTCCACCGCCCGACGATGTCCTCCGTCCGGGTTAGCAGTTCCCCCCCCCCCCTGCTGAGAACAGCCTGGAGTAAGCCCTGCTTTCCCTTCCTGAGCCGTCGGATGGTTTGCCAGAACCTCCTTGAGGCCAACCGAAAGTCCTTCTCCATGGCCTCCCCGAACTCCTCCCATGCCCGAGTATTTATCATTCGCGACCACCGCAGCTGCAGCCCTTCTGGCCTGCCGGTACCTGTCACCTGCTTCAGGAGACCCCTGGGCCAACCAGGCCTTGAAGGTCTCCTTCTTCAGCTTGACGGCTTCCCTCACCTCCGGTGTCCACCACCGGGTTCTCGGGTTGCCGCCACGACAGGCACCGATGACCTTCCGGCCACAGCTCCTAGCGGCCGCGTCCACAATAGAGGCTTTGAACATGGTCCATTCGGATTCCGTGTCCCCAACCTCCCTCGGGATGTGTGAGAAGTTCTTCTGGAGGTGGGAGTTAAAAACCTCCCGGACAGGGTCCTCCGCCAGACGTTCCCAGTTCACCCTCACTACACGTTTGGGTTTGCCGGGTCTTTCCAACCGGTTCCCCTGCCATCTGATCCAACTCACCACCAGGTGGTGATCAGTTGACAGCTATTTTCACCCGAGTGTCCAAGACATACGGCCGCAGATCAAATGATACGATTACAAAGTTGATCATTGATCTCCGGCCTAAGGTGTTCTGGTACACTTATGAGCCACCTTATGTTCGAACATAGTGTTCGTTATAGCCAAACCGTGGCAAGCACAGAAGTCCAATAACGAAACACCATTCGGGTTCAGATCGGGCAAGCCGTTCCTCCCAATCACCCCCCGCCAGGTTTCTCCGTCATTGCCCACGTGAGCGTTGAAGTCCCCCAGGAGAACTATGGAGTCGGTAGGCGGCGCCCTTTCCAGGACCCCTCCCACCGACTCCAAGAAGGCCGGATACTCCGAACTGCTGTTTGGTGCATAAGCACAAACCACAGTCAGAGCCTTGCTCCCCGCAACCCGTAGGCGCATGGAGGCGACCCTCTCGCTCTCCGGGGAGAACTCCAATACAGCGGCGCTCAGCCGGGGGCTCGTGAGTATCCCCACTCCCGCCCGGCGCCTCTCACCCTGGGCAACTCCGGAAAAGGACAAAGTCCAACCCCTCTCCAGGAGCTTGGTTCCAGAGCCAACGCTGTGTGTGGAGGTGAGTCCAACTATTTCCAGCTGGTATCGCTCCACCTCCTGCACCAGCTCCGGCTCTTTCCCCGCTAGCGAGGTGACGTTCCACGTCCCTAGAGCTAGTCTATGCCGCCGGCTATCGGCATGCCCGGGCCTCCCGCCCGACCCACCTCCCGGTCTGCATAGCACCCGACCCCGATGCTTGTCCCTGCGGGTGGTGGGTCCACAGGGTGGCTGCTCCATGGTGTTTATTCGGGCTGAGCCCGACCGGGCCCCATGGGCAAAGGCCCGGCCACCAGACGCTCGCCTACAAGCTCCCCTCCTGGGTCTGGCTCCGGGAGGGTGCCCCGGTTTCCCTGGTCCAGGCGAGGTGGCTGTAGTCCGTGGGCTAACTATCATAGGGGTCGTTTTGAACCGCTCTTAGTCTGGGCTCTCCCCTGAAACCTGTTTGCCTTGGGAGACCCTACCAGGGGCTAATGCCCCGGACAACATAGCTCCCAGGATCACTGAGTCACTCAAACTCCTCCACCACGATAAGGTGGCGATTCGCGGAGGAGCTGTATGTATGTTTCCAAGACAAATTTCCTTCGGGACAATAGTCTATCTTATCTTATCTTGTTTTGTATTCAGGGTCTAATCCAGCTGTTCAACATCACAGTGACACACTGTAGGAAACAGATGTTCACCGTCATGTTTAACAGAAGAATGTCTGTGTCTCTGGAGAAACTCAAGTGTCATGTTGAAGACGTCAGTGTGCTTCAAATAAAGTGATCAGAACTATAAATAATAACATAACTTTAGCTCCCCTCATGTTATCTGGTGAGATATTAGATTTTATACATATTATTTGTGTACGTATTGTTGCGTTTTAAAAGGTAGAAACACTGAATCTGACGACATTGATGAAGAAACATTAATATGGATCTCTCACATTGTGGCCGATAACTGATCTTCACACTGATGTGAGGAAGCATCCTCTGCACAGTCTATGAAGAACTGGATGATAGTTAGATGTAAGAAACTAGAGGAAGTGCTGCTGCTCCTCGTTTGGTCCTAAAGACACCGATAGATAGAAGCTGAAATATTAAACTCTGATTGTGTTCCGTCGATATCTTATATCTTATAACTCGTTAATAAACTTTGGTTTCTGGTCTGTTGGTCAGAATAGATGAACATTTCACCAACATCCCTTTGGACTTAAAATGGAGATTTAGGATCACGTCTCACCAGTTAAAGACTAAATAACACCGGAAGTTAGTAATCTAGAAAGATATAGAGAGTATTACAGGTCAAGAAACCCTAAATAATGTCAACGTTATCATCTGCAGTTACCTCAGAGGAACTCCATCATGGAGTGCGACCTGATAGAAAGCTCCAGAACACAAACCTAATAAAGTTCTACATGAATCTTTAGTGAGAGGGAAATATTCACATAAACGCTCAGACACTCAAATATACATTTAAACATTGTTCTTATTATAATCTGTGAAATTATGAATCTAATAGTATACATTTACTTAAATGGATTCTTACTAAACTACTAAATTAAAATTATTATTTTTCTCATGACACACTATGGTGATTAATCTGTGATTCAGAAATCTGTTAAAAAAATAACATAAAATACATCAAACTGTGGCACATAATATAATACTGTACTCTCAAATAACACCCAGTAGAAATATAACATAATATAAATACATATAATAATTTATAGTATAAATACATATATATATAAACCCAGTATTTAGTCTTTGTGTTATTAACTAAAACCCGGTCACATGATACTCGTGACTGTTTCCATAGAAACCTCCTTTGATTGACACTTCTAAACTGACACAATGTCACAAACTCGTCGTTACAGTAAACAGTGAGAATGACGTGGTTCAGCTAACAAAGCTAGCTGTTGTGACATCCGGGTACTCAGAGGGGTTTTAACGGCCACAGCATTAAGCTAGCTGTTAGCATCACTTGCTAATTAGCAACTGCGATGTTGTGAAGCCGGTAAAAACAAACCAACTCTCATAAAATGTCCCGAACATAAAGACATGAGTCCAACAGTGTTAAGACGAACGTTGTGTTAATTTGTTATTAAGCAAATAAATAAAATCAGTTACAACGAAAGAAAACCCAAAAGCTAATGTTAGCCAATTAGCTCCACGCTAGCAAGTCTAAACGCTAACGTTAGCTCAAGTATAAAAGCAGCGTCATCGGGTTTTAATGATATAAAAAACGCATTTATTACCGATATGTATCCGCAACAACCGCCTCACAAACGCAGAAAAAATGCACAAACTGCGGCCTGTGTATTTTAGGCCTCGGGCTGCGGACCCTGAAGCCGCGGTGCTCGAGTTCTGGGAGAGCCGAGAGGCCGCAGCTCGAAGCCGGGGAGAAAGAACCAGCACGATCGACACCGGCTCGAGACGAACCAGCACGAGCGACACCGGCTCGAGACGAACCACTCACTGTTTTCTCTTATTCTCTCTCTTCTGGACGCTCGTGACTTGAGGTCCTCCAGAGGTCCAACTGTCGGAGTTGAAGGCGTTAAATCAAGGCGTTCCCATTTCTTCTTCTTCTTCGGTAAATTTGGTGTAAACAGGTGAGAGCGGACGGAGAGCGAACAGAACACAGAACAAGAAGGACTGAAATGGAGCGCTGAGCGGACTGATGCTGCGGCGTTTCTGGAGCTACTCCTGAGCTCGGAAATTTGAAACTTTACCTAAAAAATGTTTTTCTCCCCCAAAGTAAAAGTATTTCAAGTATCCAAAGTATAATAACTGACTTATTTCAAAGTGTTATACTATTATAAAATAATGTTAATGAATTATTTCTCCTGGAGGGATTAATAAAGTATGTCTTCTTCTATATTCTTGTTTTTTATCATGAAATAATGAGCATATTATTGTTGTAGTTTGTCAGATATATTGTATACTACTCGGTAGATTAGTGGCAAAGTACTACATCATTGGTTTTTATATATTTAAAAATGTAACTATAACTATCAGACAAATGTAGTACAGTAAAAAGTACAATCTGTACCTCTGAGATGTAGATGTATAGAAGTATAAAGTAGCATCAAATGGAAATACTCAAGTAAAGTACAAGTATGCGAATATTGTACTGAAGTACAGTACTTGTGTAAACGTATTTTAATGTGGTCTTTTATTATTTCGTCAGTAAACTAAATATGTTTTTGTTCTTTATATCAAATAATAAAAATATATTTAACAAATGTTTGAGATTAATATTAAATAATAAATGTGTTTGCTGTAAACTAAATATGTTTATAAATGAAAGTTATTGTTCAACAAGAATGGAGGAAATAGTTTAAACTAACCTTTTAATATATTTATATGTGTGTATTTAATTGTGTACTTTAATTTTATTATAGGTTAGATTTACCATCATTAATATGTCATAATCACTGTTTTACTTCAATATATATTTAAGTTTCTCATCATGTTTGTAATTACCTGACAGTAACAGTAATCATTCTTTTAATTATTGTTTTTACGCACAAATGGAAATATTTATGTACAAAACATCTTGTAGCTGCAATATACATGGATCATTTATTCTTTTCATTAAAACAAGTGTAAACATCTTCTCTGATCATTATTCATGTTGATAATAACAGAAACATTTAGAAACAGATTCAGTTATTTGCTTCATCCTGATGAGTTTGTGCTTTCCGACAGTCCCTGAAGGCAGCACTGTGAGGTGACGCAGCTGACATCAGGGGGCGCTGTGAAGTGGTCTCTCTCTCATAAACATGTAAATATATGATGTCATCTTCTATCTTCATATTTTAAATAGTCAGCAGCTGTTTGTTGCCTTTAAGTTAGTTAACTTCAGTATTTCTATATTTTATCTGCTATTATTATTACTATGAGTCACATTTATATTACTATTCAATCAATCAAACTTTATTTCAGACTCAGGGTTCATATTAGACAAATACATGAAAGTAGACACAGAACACTAAAGTACGGTGGCCTCTGAGGGCCCTACAGAGAACACTAAAATATGGAGGCCTGTGAGGGCCCTACAGAGAACACTAAAGTACGGTGGCCTCTGAGGGCCCTACAGAGAACACTAAAGTACGGCGGCCTCTGAGGGCCCTGCAGAGAACACTAAAGTACGGCGGCCTCTGAGGGCCCTGCAGAGAACACTAAAGTACGGCGGCCTCTGAGGGCCCTGCAGAGAACACTAAAGTACGGCGGCCTCTGAGGGCCCTACGAAGAACACTAAAGTATGGTGGCCTGTGAGGGCCCTACAGAGAACACTAAAGTACGGAGGCCTGTGAGGGCCCTACAGAGAACACTAAAGTACGGTGACCAGCGTCTCCACAGACTGAGCTGTGCTACTAAACCTTATGTTCATGAAACCAAGAAGACATTTTCAGAGTCATTAAGTCAACGAATACATTTCAGGTTTCCTGATTTATTTTTAATAAGCCTCTTGCGTTCCATTGTAGTCCAGTCACACGGTCCGCTGGGCCTCCTAGCTTCTCCGCTTCCCTCACTATTATTTAGATTTTCTCGGTTCTTTGTTTGACTTGGTCAGTACAAGCTATTACACATGTAATAAACAGGATCAACTCATCCTGTCAGTGCTGTATTGGTTTCATCAGACAGACTTGTTTAGGAGTTTCCTTCATTCCTCTTTGTCCTTGTAGCCTCTGCATGTCCCGGGAGTTCAGGACAACCACAAGACACAGAATCCGGTAGAGAACAGACTTTATTTTCACCGGACAGATGGCAGGATCGACGGTGTGGTTTCCCTGTGGACCGACACCAGCTGGCAGGCACACTAGTAGGCACAGGGTAGAAGACGGTACAGACTGACAGCCCAGGATTGCAGCACCAGGGTTGATATACTGCCAAGATGTGATTAGTGGAACCCGGGTCTGGTGTGTCAGCCTGCAGGAGGTGATCAGCTGGATTGTCTGCAGCTGTGCCCCAATCAGGGGTGTAGCCATGGGAGGTGTCTGGAGGCAGACAGAGGAAAGGGCGCTGGTGGACACCGGCTTGATTTGTGACACATGAAATGTCAGGTGGATCCTCATGGACGAGTTTCAGACAGAGGAATACTAAAGTACGGAGGATAATGGCGGATCTCAAACGGGCCGATGAACCGGGGGGACATCTTGTGACATCGTGTGAAGACATCGTGTGAAGTCTTACTTCGGGCGCAGGTTGAGCAGGCGAGGACAAATGCTCTACGGCTCTAAAGGTCCTCCGAAGCAGGGTAATGGTCTGATGCCAGGGTGACAGGAGAACCGGGAGGTGTGCGGACAGGGGAACAAAGAGGCCTCCGGGGTCTGGCCGAGTCCAGAGAGCGTCCCGCACCACCGATTCTATCTCCCAGGGGAGAGAGGTCGCCACACAGGCTGCTGGGAGGATGGTATCAGGACAGGAGGGTTGTACTCTTGATTCTGGTCTTGATTGTACTCTTGATTCTGGTCTGAGTTTAGGAGGAAAGGTCCCCCCCGTTTCTTAGACTCCGCTCCCTGCTTCCTGCCTTCCCACACACATTACATTACAGTCATTTAGCAGACGCTTTTATCCAAAGCGACTTACAATTCAGATTCTATCACATTTCTACACCGTAGGCACAGCTACAGGAGCAATTTAGGGTTAAGTGTCTTGCTCAAGGACACATCGACATGCGACTAGCAGAGCCGGAGCCGGGGATCGAACCGCCGACCCTTTGATTGAAGGACGGCCCTGCTATCCACTTACATAAATTCCCACACACATAAATTGAAATGAAAGAGACTCTTACTCACTGGATTCATCTCATGTTTCATGACTTGTTACCACATTAAATAAACTCAAAAAATAATATCATGCTTTGCTTTAAACTCATTTTATGTCACATTTATTTTTAAGGTAATACAACTAATACATATCGGAACTCTTTTATTTTAAGATCATTTTTCAAAAAAAGTACATTTAAAAAACACCTTAAAGAGTAACTTAGCCCCTAAAAATCAGGTCTCTTCTCAAATCCAGGTAATTTAACTCACCTGGCTGCAGTGATGTAACGGTGACATCACAGGTGGGCGTGGTTACAGGTGTGTCTTTAAACGTTTATAGCACTGAATCCACTTTAAGTTTTCATAAAAGTTACACAAAAACAAAGACCTTCATCATCGTCACAAATCAAAAACACATGAAACAGAATTAGAAGAAAAACATCTTTATTAACTGGCTGCTGTTAGAAGACATGTTGACTCCTTCAGGTCTCACCTGTACACTTCACAGGCTCATAAACTAATACAGGTCTTTTATTGTGACAGCTTTAACAGGAAATCATGTCAGAAATGATTTAATTCACAATAAAAGTCCTTTAAAACAAACTAAGACACGATATCATGACGTCTTAGTGTTGTTAAACTAAAGTGTTGAAGACTAAATTGTCCCTTCCAGGCCACCATATGCGTCACGTGATCCTTCAGACGAAATAAAACTCAACAAATCAACATTTTACTACAAAAATAAAAACGCTCTTCTCTGTTATTGACATTCATTCATTCATTCATCTATGTGACCTCTGACCTCCTTTTATTGTTAGTGACGTACATAGGCCGTAATTCTTTCAAAATAAAAGCCTCCCTTTCATTGTCGGACCTGACGGCACAGCGTCAGGTGTGTTGCGTTGTACAACTGATTTTGAGATGCTCTCCCCTGATTGGTCGAGCTCACTGTTTACACTGTACATGTGTGCTTCAGGTGAAACGGTCAATTCTGGGATTAAACATTTCAGTGTCTGTTTATTGGAGCGATCGGGAAGTTTTGGAAAAATATGACCTCATCGTGCTGCATCATGAAAGTATTTTTTTTGGGGGGGGGTCTTATGTGGATCTAAAATATGATCACATGACAGGTTTGTAGTTGCTGATGCCTTCACTGTCTGTTCGTAAATCCTGAAACTTGGTGACGGTTGACGTTCTGTATTATTTTAAACTTGTCTGTCTTTATTATATTTAGATTTTACAGTAATTTCGGTCATCTGATGTTTTTAAATGTGCTTCATGAAAACATTTAGTAATTTGAAATATAAGTAAAAAAATCTAAAATTGTCTTTGTAAAAATAAAAATGTGTGTCTGTGTGTGTGCATGTGTCTGTGTATGTGTGTGCATGTGCATGCCTGTGTATGTGTGTGTGTAGAATCAGGATGTTAGTTTTGACTCTTTAGTGACCTCTAGTGGTGAGGACACAGAACAACAGCACTCACCCTTCAGCCAGCTGGTAGGAAACTACAGTGCCTTCAGGTAACATAAAAAAAGACAGCGTCAGTGATTGGTTTGTCCCTTCTGGGCTCATGTAGAAACTCTGTGACCGTAGACATTGATAATATCAGTGGAATATGAACGAGTGACTCTTCATGTTCATCATGAATCTAACAGAGATAAAGCTCTCCTCTCATTGGTTGTTCACTGATTATTGATCAATAACGTAGAGATGTGAGAGGAGTCACGGTCAAAGATGGCCGACGTCAACGTGTCACAAAGTCTGTGACGGTGCATTCAGGTACACGTGGTTAAGACGGGATAATCCAAACCTCGGCCCCCTCACAGGAAGTTGGTCTTCAGCGTGATGCTGGGCGACGACTTGGCGGCGAGGTGACCGCTGCTCGCTTTGGCGTTAAGACTCTCCTGGTTTCCTTTGACGGCGGCTTCCAGACGAGACTTAAGGTGAGGAGACGAGGAGACGAGCGACCTGAGGAGGGAAGGAAATGAGAGTTTTATTTATTATTTATGAATATAGATTGTTGTTGTTGTTGTTGAGAATCTACAGAACAGAAGTTTGGACTTTAATAACTTAAAACATTCGTCATCAGGAGGCTCAGAGAAAAGTTACCGACTTCACTTGAACTCAGCGTCTCTTATTCCTCCTTATCTTTTTAAATGGGCTTTTATTTTGAAAAATAGCATCTATAAACAGCATAAAAAGGGTTTAATAAATGCTTTATAACACACACTGTAAGGGGATGCGTTTGTCAAGATATATATATATAAATATGATATATATAATTTATATATCTGTATATAAATCTCTACAGAGAGGAACCAGCTCTCGTACCTGAACACAGCAGAGTGTTGCGGGCCGAGACGCATCAGGTCTTTGAGCGCCGCCTCGTGGAGCGACCGGGACGCCGTGGGGGCGGAGCCTAGAGCGTTTTCATCCAGCAGGAAGGAGATGAGGAGCGGCAGCAGGACGGCCACCAGCTGAGGACCTGAGGACCAATAACAACACTTCAGAACATGAAGCCTGGACTCAAAGTTCACCTGAAGAAACGTCAAAGTTTAAAAAACCTCTGAACCCAGAAACCTGACGGGATCTTTTCATCAGATTATCAACATTTCCAACAGTCCCTGAATGCATCACGTGTGACGAACACTTCTGTCAGAAAAAAAATCACCAAATCTGAACTTTAAAATATAAATAAATAAAATTAATTAATTAACCTTTTGAAGTGACCACATTCTGTACAAAACATTCAATGCAACTCCTGATCAGAACCGATCACAATGCATGCTGGGTACAACACAACACATGAATATATATATATATATATAAACACATAAATATATATAAACACATAAATATATATATAAACACAGACCTACAGATCTGATCTAACTAAGTGACTGTTTCTGTGACTTCCTGTTTATTCTTTGAAGGCGGCTCTTTATTTTGGCTCCGCCCCCTGTCGCTCATCTCCAACCAACCAAACGACTCGACGTCAAAGAAATTCAATGTTTCCTTTTTGCTTCATGATTTATGGTTTTATAGTGAAATGTTAGAGTTCTCTCCAGTTCAGGAGGTTTCCCTCTTCTGGGTTCTGGACTCACGCCGAGACTGGTCTGCAGCCTGGACCAGAGCCTCCATGGACCGGACTCCCTCCAGGACCCCGAGCAGCTCCTCTGGACTCTGAGGACGACTCCTCTCCACCTTCTGAGGAGGACACGTCAGCTGATCAATACATTCAGCCATCACATCTTTTCAAAATAAAAGCATGGAAATATTCACATTTTATCAGGATGTTTGGTCTTTGTTATCTTAGATTTTATATTTTTGATTGATTCATATTTTCCTCGAGACCAAACTGAAGTGAATATTTGTGACAAACGAGACTAAGATGAAGTGATATTTAAAAAATATGACCATAAATATTTCCTCTTGAATTCACCAGCTTCACAGAACAGAAACTAAACTATTCCGTGAAAACTAAAATCATTGTGGATGATATAAACATCCACAAAAGAGGAATACAATATAATTCAGTACCTGGAGGAATCGAACCAGCGGCGGTCCGAGTGCCTGGATGTACGGGACGGCCACAGTGGGCGGAGCCTGAAACACCGATGTCAACAGCTGATGACATCGACTCATGACCTGCAGCACAGAGAACGAATAATTAAGAAAAATGACATCATCAGATGTTTTACTTTTTGAGACGTTTTAAAACCACCATGAGGTCAGAATCTACGGGGGTCCAGGTTCAGAGGACTGATTAAGGATGTGGTCTCGGTTCTACAGAGCTTCCAGGTTGTTGTTCATTAGAGAGTACGTTTTAATGTGTCCATTCTAGACTGGATTCTGGTCTTGATTCTAGTCTTAGTTCTAGACTCGATTCTGGCCTTGATATTACTCTCTGGTGGTCCTGGTTACTCTCTGGTGGTCCCGGTTACTCTCTGGTGGTCCCGATTACTCTCTGGTAGTACTCACCAGTGGGTCTTTGGCGTCCATGCTGGAGGTGAAGCGCTGCAGACTGAGTGCGTGCAGCGGCTCCACGTAGCAGACATCTGGACCAGCAGACAGAAGGAAGACGGTCAGAGCGGAGAGGAGAGTGACGTGGTCCACCACAGAGTCTGAGGAGACACACACAAACACACACACACTGAATACAGAAGTAATGTTGTGTGTTGTGACAGTGTGTAGATGTAACAGTGTGTAGTCGTGTTGTAACAG